AAGGAAAACCCCAAGGCGTTCTATACTTATATGAGGAACAAGAGGATGGCCAGAGTGAGGGTAGGGCCAATCAGGAATAGTGGAGGGAACTTGTGCCTGAAGTCGGAGGAGGTAGGGGAGGTCCTTAATGAATACTTTGCTTCAGTATTCACCAGTGAGAGGGACCTTGATGTTTGTGAGGACAACGTGAAACAGGCTGATATGCTCAAACAGGTTGGTGTTAGGAGGAGGATGTGCTAGAAATTTTGAAAAACACGAGGATAGATGAGTCCCCTGGGCCAGACGCGATATACCCAAGGTTTCTATGGGAAGCAAGGCAAGAGATTGCTGCCCCTTTGGCAATGATCTTTGCGCCCTCACTGTCCACTGGAGTAGTACCAGAAGATTGGAGGGTGGCAAATGTCATTCCCTTGTTCAAGAAAGGGAATAGGGATAATCCTGGGAATTACAGACCGGTCAGTCTTACTTCTGTGGTGGGCAAATTATTCTGAGAGGTGGTATTTATGATTATTTGGAAAAGCACAGTTTGATTAGAAATAGTCAGCATGGCTTTGTGAGGGGCAGGTCATGCCTCACAAGTCTTATTGAATTCTTTGAGGATGTGACAAACACATTGATGAAGGTAGAGCAGTGGATGTGGTGTATATGGATTTTAACAAGGCATTTGATAAGGTTCCACATGGTAGGCTCATTCAGGAAGTAAGGAGGCATGGGATTCAGGGAAATGTGGCTGTCTGGATACAAAACTGGCTGTCCAATAGAAGACAGAGGGTGGTGGTAGATGGAAAGTATTCAGCCTGGAGCTCGGTGACCAGTGGTGTTCCACAGGGATCTGTTCTGGGATCTCTGCTCTTTGTGATCTTTGTAAATGACTTGGATGAGGAAGTGGAAGGGTGGGTTAGTAAGTTTGCCGATGACATGAAGGTTGGTGGAGTTGTGGACATCGTGGAGGGCTGTTGCAGGTTGCAACAGGACATTGACAGGATGCAGAGCTGCGCAAAGAAGCGGCAGATGGAATTCAACCCAGAAAAGTGTGAAGTGATTTATTTTGGAAGGTGGAGTTTGAATGCAGAATACAGGGTTAACAGCAGGATTCTTGCCAGTGTGGAGGAACAGAGGGATCTTGGGGTCCATGTCCATAGATCCCTCAAAGTTGCTACCCAAGTTGATAGGGTTGTAAAGAAGGCGCATGGTGTGTTTCATTGGCAGGGGAATTGAGTTTAAGAGCCGCGAGGTTATGCTGCAGCTCTACAAAACCCTGGTTAGACCACACTTGGAATATTGTGTTCAGTTCTGGTCGCCTCATTATAGGAAAGATGTGGAAGCTTCAGAGAGGGTGCAGAGGAGATTTACCAGGATGCTGCCTGGACTGGAGGGCAGGCCTTATGAGGAAAGGTTGAGGGAGCTAGGGCTTTTTTCATTGGAGCGAAGAAGGATGAGAGGTGACTTGACAGAGGTGTACAAGATGATAAGAGGCATAGATAGAATGGATAGGCAGAGACTTTTTCCCAGGGTGGAAATGACTATTATGAGGGGGCATAATTTTAAGGGGATTGGAGGTATAGGGGAGATGTCAGAGGTAGGTTCTTCACACAGAGAGTGGTGAGTGCATGGTATGCGCTGCCAGCAGTGATAGTGGGGTCAGATACATTAGGGACATATAAGCAACTCTTGGATAGACACATGGATGATAGTAAAATGTAGGGTATGCAGGGTAATTCAATCTTAGAGTAGGATAATCGGTCGGCACAACATTGTGGGCCGAAGGGCCTGTACTGAACTGTTCCATGTTCTATGTTCCAGATGAACAGGAGATTTGACAGAGACAATAGATAAAACACTGCTTGATGTACAGCGGGAAAGTGCACAGGGAGAGAGAGTGGAGGATGTACAGGGGAGAGTGTGGAGGGTGTACTGGGGGACAGAGAGGAGGATGTACAGCGGGAGAGTGCACAGTGAGAGAGTGGACGATGTACGGGGGAGAGTGGAGGATGTGCAGTCGGAGAGGGTGGAGGATGTACTGGGGGAGAGAGTGGAGGATGTATGGGGGACAGAGTGAAGGATGTACTTGTGGGGGAGAGTGGAGGATGTACGGGGGGAGAGTGGAGGATGTACTGGAGGAGAGATTGGAGGATGTATTGGGGGGGTAGTGGATGATGTAAGGGGGAGAGAGTGGAGGGTGTACAGGGGAAAGAGTGGAGTATGTACTGAGGGAGAGAGTGGAGGATGTACAGGGGAGAGAGTGGAGGATGTACTGGGGGGGGTGGAGAGTGGAGGATGTACTGGGGGAGAGAGTGGAGGATGTATGGGGGAGAGAATGGAGGATGTAATGGGGGACAGTGTGGAGGACGTATATGGGGAGAGAGTGGAGGATGTACTGGGGGAGAGTGTGGAGGTTGTACTGGGGGAGAGAGTGGAGGATGTACTGGGGAGAGAGGGGAGGATGTATATGGGGAGAGAGTGGAGGAAGTACTGGGGGAGAATGTGGTGAATGTAGTGGGGCAGAGTGTGGAGGATGTATTGGGGAAAGTGTGGAGGATGTATGGGGGAGAGAGTGGAGGATGTATAGGGGGAGAGAGTGGAGGATGTACTGGGGGAGAGTGTGGAAGATGTACTGGGGGAGAGTGTGGAGGATGTACTGGGGGAGAGATTGGAGGGTGTACTGGGGGAGAGAGTGGAGTATGTACTGGGGGAGAGAGTGGAGGATGTACTGGGGGAGACAGTGGAGATGTAGGGGGGCAGAGACTGGAGGATGTACTGGGTGAGAGAGTGGAGGATGTACTGGGGGAGTGTGTGGAGGATATAGCGGGGCAGTGTGTGGAGGATGTCCTGTGGGAGAGTGTGGAGGATGTACTGGGGGAGAGAGTGGAGGATATATAGGGGAGATATTGGAGGATGTGCTGTGGGAGAGTGTGGAGGATGTCCTCAGGGAGAGATGTGGAGGACGTACTGGGGGCGAGAGGGGAGGATGTATAAGTGGAATGAGTGGAGGATGCACTGGGGGAGAGTGTGGAGGATGTACTGGGCGAGAGATTGGAGGATGTACTGGGCGAGAGTGTGGAGGATGCACAGGAAGAGAGAGTGGAGGATGTACCGGGGGAGAGTGTGGAGGATGTAGCGGGAGAGAGAGTGGAGGAGGTACTGGGGGAGAGAGTGGAGGATGTACTGTGGGAGAGAGTGGAGGATTTATTGGGGGAGAGATTGGACAATGTACTGGGGGAGAGATTGGATGATGTATAGGGGGAGAAATTGGAGGATGTACTGGGGGAGAGTGTGGAGGATGTACTCGGTGAGAGTGTGGAGGATGTACTGGGGAAGAGAGTGGAGGATGTACTGGGGGAGTATTTGGAGGATGTATAGGGTGAGAGTGTGGAGGATGTATAGGGGGAGAGAGTGGAGGATATACTAGGGGAGAGAGTGGAGGATGTACCGTTGGAGAGAGTAGAGGATGTAACGGGGGAGAGAGTGGAGGATATACCGGGGGAGAGTGTGGAGGATGTACTGGGGGAGAGTGTGGAGGATGTATAGCGGGCAGATTGGCGGATGTATAGGGGAAGAGAGTGGAGGCTGTACTTGGGCAGAGAGTGTAGGATGTACTGGGGGAGGGTGCGGAGGATGCACAGGGGAGAGAGTGGAGAATGTACTGGGGGAGAGAGTGCAGCAAGTACCGGGGGAGAGAGTGGAGGATGTACCGGTGGAGAATGTACCGGTGGAGAGAGTGGAGGATGTATAGGGGGAGAGAGTGGAGGATGTACTGGGGGAGAGAGTGGAGGATGTACTGGGGGAGAGAGTTGAGAATGTACTGGGGGGAGAGAGTGGAGGATGTACCGGGGGAGAGTGTGGAGTATGTATAGGGGGAGACAGTGGAGGATGTACAGGGGGAGATTGTGGAGTATGTATGGGGGAGAGTGTGGAGGATATATAGGGGGAGAGATTGGAGGATATACTGGGGGAGAGAGTGGAGGATGTACTGCGGGAGACTGTGGAGGATGTACAGGGGAGAGAGTGGAGCAAGTACCGGGGGAGAGAGTGGAGGATGTACCGGTGGAGACTGTGGAGGATGTACCGGGGAGAGAGTGTTGGATGTTCTGGGGGAGAGTGTGGAGGATGCACTGGGGGAGAGAGTGGAGGATGTACTGGGGAGAGTGTGGAAGATGGAGTCGGGGAGAGTGTGTGAAGGATGTACTGGTGGAGAGAATGGAGGACGTACTGGTGGAAGGAGTGGAGGATGTATAGGGTGAGAGAGTGGAAGATATACTGGGGGAGAGAGTGGAGGTTGTACTGGGGGAGAGATTGGAGAATGTATAGGGGGAGAGATTGGAGGATGTACTGGGGGAGAGTGTGGAGGATGTACTGGGGGAGAGAGTGGAGGATGTATATTTGGAAAGAGTGGAGGATGTATTGGGAGAGAGTGTGGGGTATGTACTGGGGGATCGAGTGGAGGATGTACTGGGGGAGAGAGTGGAGGATGTACTGGCGGAGAATGTGGAGGATGTATTGGGGGAGAGTGTGGAGGATGTACTGGCGGAGAATGTGGGGGATGTATATGGGGAGAGAGTGGAGGATGTATTGTGGGGAGAGAGTGGAGGATGTACTGCGGGAGAGAGTGGAGGATGTACCGGGGAGAGAGTGGAGGATGTATAGGGGGAAAGATGGAGGCCTGCATTGTGTTGAGGGGCTGGTCTGTTGCAGGATTTAACCTTCTTCCTGTCTGGAAGTGAGTGGAGAATTGGGAGGATGAGTAGTAGGCCATGAGAGGGGAATGGTTTGGTGGGAGGGAGACGAACGGTGCTACAAGAAAATAAAACAAGCTGTTTTTATTCTATCAGACGGCAGACTGTATTTTTCCTCCTGGCACCCGCTTGCAGCTGCTTGACGATGACCCCAGTGGTTGTGTTTCTGGGATACTGTGCTGTGGAATGGGAGAGGGAGAAGCCAGAGGCGAAGGTGAAATGAATTCATGATGAGTTGTTACAGTGAAGACTTTCCTTTTCTTTCAGGTTTTTTTCGAGAGTGTGTGGCTAAGATGGTCCCGGGATTTCCTTTGCAATAATGACCCACAATTCTAGTAAGATTCCAGCCTGTAACATAAGCTATGACCAGGGCAGCGTGCCACTGGTCACTGTCTACAGCTTGGTACTTGCTATCGGGGCCCCTGCCAACCTGGTGACCTTGTTCCTGTCCCTGATAAAGATCTGCAGGAAGAATGTCCTCTCGGTTTATCTGTTCACCCTCTCGCTGTCTGACCTGCTGTACATGGGCACCATTCCCCAGTGGATCATATACGTCAAGAACCACAATAAGTGGACCCAGAGTGACACAGCATGCCAGATGACTGGCTTCATCTTCTTCAACAACTTGTACATCAGCATCCTCCTTCTGTGCTGCATCTCGACTGACCGCTGCCTGGTTGTCCTCTACCCTATCGAGTCCAAGTGGCGCCGTCGGCGAAGGACAGCGGTGGCGGTGTGCTTTGCTGTCTGGCTCCTAGTGATGGTGGTCCACCTGCCTGTCTTTTTCCTGTCAAGTGTGAAGAATGTCAAGGACAAGAATGACTCATGCTTTGAGACCATCCCCATGCCCCCACTAGTGGCCAAGTTCAACTATGCCCGATTCTGTGTGGGCTTCTGCATCCCCTTGTTCATCCTGGCCCTCACCAACCTGTTGATCTTCCAAAGGATCCAGGCCAGCCCATGCCTCAGCCTCCGTGAAAAATCCAAGGTGAAGTACCTTGCCATCGCCATCATACTGATCTTCCTTGGTTGCTTTGCCCCGTACCACATCATCCTCCTCGGCAGAGCCATCGTCTTCTCCCTGTATCCGGACAGCTGCTGGTTTGAGGAGAAGATCTACAGCGTGTCGACCCTCTTTCTCTGCCTCTGCACCATTAACAGCGCCATCAACCCGATCCTCTACATGTTCTCCTGTGAGAGTGTCAGGCAGGAGCTCTGTAGAGAGATCCAGTCCATCAGAAACTGCTCCAGTCGCCGTAGCAACAGGTCAGAGAGTTACATTCTGAGAAATGGGCAGATATCAGGCACGTCCATGTACAGAATAGAACATGTTACCACTGAAAACTGACCTGAGATTGGATAAAGAACTTGCATATGGTGACTGACATTTAACGTAAACTCATGTTCTCAATTAAACACGACTGGATTGCAGAGTAAACTCCAATAGGGTCATGTTAGTGGTCAGCTGGGAATGCTATGCAAATTTCTGTGTGCGCACAAAACAATAGAGCCTTCCACCAGTTCCACATGGTCTGGAAATGACCCGACAATTCCCTCTCAGTATTGCTAATGAAGCTAATGTGCTGGAGCCCCTTGTCTAACTACCTCGACCCAGGGCCAATGGGGAAGGAGATTGAGGTCAGGAGGTTACATTTGCTCCCCGTCTCACCTGAAGGTAGTCTTGAGACTGTGCCAGGTGATGTGGACAGCGTACTGGAATATGGCCCGCGTTTCCGGTGGTTCGTCTGTCACTACAGGATTATCACGCTGAGAATCTTTGGGAGTGATAGTTGACAGGGGATGGTGTGACTCCAAAGGGAAAATTATTCAGAGCAAGCTATGTGTCCTGTCACCAAATCTACTGCTTCCTTCGTCTCTGGGGACAATGAGCAAAGGAATGTGGGTCAGTCAGCCTGACTCCAACCACTCCAACATCAATTTGACCAACCTTCGTACGATCACTCCGTAATACCAGCAATAGTCAGGTGTTGTCTACAGCCTGTCTGAGAATCTAGTCAAAGGATTGTAACTTTGGGACAGTCTGGATCAATTCCCAAAGGGCTCATAACAGTTAGGATCCAGAATTCAGTCGAGATTGACAGTTTCATTCAGGGACGTATTGTTCACTAGGACAACTAGATTTTTGAAGGTTTTTAACAGTCATGGAAACAAGCAGAATCCAATCAGCCAACAAACCTGCCATTCTGTGAGATGGTGGCTGACCTTATTAATTTCCCTGAGTTAGCGCTACATTTTTGTACACTGTTGACCAGCAAAAATCTATCAATCTAAAATTTAATGTTATCCACTGAGTGAACATTGCTTGTATTTAGTGCACACAGTTCCCACTTCACGCTGTTTTCATGAACACAAGGTTCCTAAATTCCCTCCTGAATAACCTGACTCTGGGGTTTAAGGTTGTAACATCTTAAGAAGTAGGAGCAGGATCTTCTTACTCTGTTCCTCAAACCTGCCCCACCATTCAATACGAATCAGAGATAGTAGGAACTGAAGGGTCTAGGCCCGAAACGTCAGCCTTTCTGCTCCTATGATGCTGCTTGGCCTGCTGTGTTCGTCCAGCCCTGCACCTTGTTGTCCCACCATTCAATACAATCTGTCCTGAAGAAGGCTTGCAGACCTGAAACGTTAACTCAGCTTTCCCTCTCCACAGATACTGCCAGACCTGCTGAGTTTCTACTGCAATTTCTGTTTGTGTTTCTGATTTCCAGCAACCTGCAGTTCTTTGGTTTTGCAATGCAATCCAAATGCTGTCTGCTCCCCATGTATCTTTATTCCGCAAAAGATTAAAAATCTATCTCAGCCTTAAATAAATTCGCTGATGGCCCAACCAGGACAATCAGGAGTCCTCAAAATATTTAAGAAGTACTTAGATAAGCGAGTGAAATGCCATAGGAGACAAGTCTACAAACAAAGTGCTAGGAACTGAGGTTAGAATAGATGGCTGTTTGATGACCATTATGGACATGATGGACCAAAAGGCTTCTTTCCACAATGTAAAAACTCTTTATGACTCTCTGGGATACAAAATTCCAAACATTCACACCAATCTAAGTAAAGAAATTCCTCTTCATCTTAATGCTCAATGATCCCTATTCCTGAGACCAAACCCCTGTGCCCTAGATTGCCCAATAAGGGGGAAACAACCTCTTAGCTCTTGATGGGGACAGTGTAGAGGGAGCTTTACTGTGTATCTTACTCCATGCTGTCCCTGTCCTGGGAGTGTTTAATGGGGTACAGTGCAGAGGGAGCTTTACCCTATATCTAACCTTGTGCTGTCCCCGTCCTGGGAGTGTTTGATGGGGGACAGAATCTTCTGTTTTTTTTTCCTTTATTCATTCTCAGGATGAGGGCATTGCTGGCCAGGCAGCATTTGTTGCCCATCCCTAATTGCCCAGAGGGCAGTTGAGAGTCAACCACATTGCTGTAGGTCTAGAGTCACATGTAGGCCAGACCAGGTAAGAATGACAATTTCTTTCCTGAAAGGACATTAGTGAACCAGATGGGTTTTTACAAAAATCAGCAATGGATTCATGGTCATTATTAGGCTCTTAATTATTACTGATTTCAAATTCCACCATCTGCCACAGATGGGATTCAAACCAAGGTCCTCAGGACATTACATGGGTCTCTGGATGAATAGTTTGGCAATAATACCACTGGGCCATTGCCTTCTCTATGAGAGGGTGAAACAAAAGTTGATGAAATCATTTGAAAGAACTGAATTACATCATCAGATATTGTGTGGTAAGGAGTGTAATATCTGGAACGATTATCTCTGTTCATTTCGGAGCACATACTGTAGATAGTGTTATATAAATCCTGCAATGCAATGAAATATCACTAGTTATGGGTTTGAATAAATATCTTCTCAGGTACTCTGGTCAACCTCTTGGTGATTGCCTCTCAGGGACTGTGGTTCACCTCTTGTTGACTATGATTGGATTACATAGAGATGCAAACACATTTATAAGCAAGTGCTGATATTATAATCTCACAAACACCCGCTATAATGGAGCTCATTACAGTAAGAACCACGTTAGCCAGGCCCAGTTAATCCCCAGGGTTGTCCCTCAGGATGGAAGCTCCCTTGATTCAGAGGAAGACCGGGAGCGGATGTCCTGGGATTCCTGGACACCAGTGATGGGGCGTCAATTAGATTCATTAATAAGACCATAAGACTTAGGAGCAAGAGAAGGCCATTCATCCCATTGAGTCTGTTCAATGTGATCATGGCTGATCTGATAATACTCAACTCCACTTTCATGCCTTTTCCCCATAATCCTCAATTCCATTACTGATTAAAAATCTATTAATAGCAAATTGACATCCATTGTCTTTGAGATCCCCACAATCTCATAATGCCACAAGGATTTAACAGGATCCACAACTTCGGAAGGCTGTTGCTAACCATCTGCCCAAGCCTTGCACTGCCCTGACGTTGAACTACATGACTGTTCGTTCATTGTCTCTGGGTCCAAATCCGGGATCTCCTGAACAGTGCAGTGGCTGCTCTACCAGGAGAGGGACTAGTACTGATTCAAGGAGACTACCTTCCTCAGGGCAATTAGGGTGGTACAATAAATGCAAGAAAAAAGCCACCAGTTCTCAGACACTTAGGTGAGTTCTCAGAGGCTGTTGGTTTCCATGGTGAGTACCAACATTGATAGGAAAGGAGCGAGTGGCAAAGCTGTAAGAGTGGATGGGGAAAGTTAAGCAAAAGTACCAGTGTGTACTAAATATCAAAAAGTAAGGCACATCACAGGACTTACTGGATTAAGTAATCTAACACTTCCTGTTAAAATAACCACCAGCCTGAGCAAAACCACACATTTATTTCCATAACTATTGTAAGTTCATATCGAATCTAGGTGAATGTAACACATTCAGCTGCACATAAATAAGGAATCCAGATGCATCGTCAACATGCTTAATGTGAAACCTGTACTATTTTTAATTGCATTTTTAAAAATAAAATTATTAAATATTGTCTGCAATTTGTGTCTGATTTCTGATTGTATCAGATTCCAGTCTAGACTTTTCTGTTTCTTGGTCAGACCACACTTTGATCTATGTCATTTTCTCAGAATATTTCTTCAAGAGGATGTGTGCATCTAATTTTCAAGAGAGGTTATACAAAAAAATGCAAGCTAGAATAAAGCCGGGAAATGCTGGCAGTACATGCAGATCTTAACAAATGTGGGATCTGACATGAAATTTCTGATGAAGACCAGATCTCTCCCAGTTCCATCCTTGATGTGACCAGCATGAATGCAGCTCTACCTGTACCTCACAAGCCTGTTCCATTCCATTTCTTAGTAAGATACAACAGAATGGCTGCTCACATTGTTCTTCTGTATCATTTTGGATAGACCTCAGTTAGGCTATTAAGCCCAGTTTTTGTCTCCTCAATGGATGGGTGCCTTGAGATTTTGTAAAGAGTGCAGAGTAGGGACAATGGACTATTTTTTTATTCATTCACAGGATGTGGGCATTGCTGGCGGAGCCAGCATTCACTGCCCATTCCTAATTACCCAGAGGATAGTTGAGAGTCAACCACATTGCTAAGTATCTGGAGTCACATGTAGGCCAGTCCAGGTAAGGATGGCAGATTTCTTTCCCTAAAGGACCTTAGTGAATCAGATGGGTTTTTCCAACAACTGGTAATGGATTCATGGTCTTCAGTACATTCTTAATTCCAGATATTTTGCTTTACTGAATTTAAATTCCACCGTCTGCCATGGTAGGATTCAAACCCAGGTCCTCAGAACATTAGAGATGACAAGGTGTAGAGCTGGATGAACACAGCAGGCCAAGCAGCATCAGAGGAGCAGGAAGGCTGACGTTTCGGGCCTAGACCCTTCTTCAGAAAAAAGAAAAAGGGTCTCGACCCGAAACGTCAGCTTTCCTTCTCCTATGATGCTGCTTGGCCTGCTGTGTTCATCCAGCTCTACACCT